AAAAGAGATCTGATTTGTAGAGCAGTTGCAGGCACAGCTCCGTTGAGTGGACAGTGCAGGGCTCCCACCTACCCCTTCTGCCCACTGGCACACAGCCTCCCACAGCACCTACTCCTGCACCTGCATGGTGCGTTTGTTACAGTGGCCGAGTCTATGGTGACATCATCCTCACCTCCAGTCATAGTAGGGGTCACTCTCATCATTTCATGGCTTTGGACAAATGTGTCCTGACACTTGTTCACCATTATAGTATTACACAGCATAGTTTCTCTTCCCTACAACCCTCTGTATGGTGCCTGTCCTTGCCTTCTGTGGGGTATTGGATAGCTGGAATAGTGCAGTAGATAACCTTTTCTTAGGGACGTACATTTAAGATTCTTTCAAATTTTCATGGCTTGACATCATTCCTTTCTAGCCCTGAGTAATATTCCACTGTTATTTATCCATCACCTGTCAACCAGGATATCCTGGTTGCTTCCAAGTTTTGGCAAATTTAAAGCTGCTATAAATATCTATGTGCAGATTTTTGTGTGGACAAACATAAGTTTTCAATTCCTTTGGGTAAGTCCCACCAAGAAGTGTGAGGCTGGGTCAAAAGGTAAAAGTAAAAGGTTGGGTTTGTAAAAAAAAAAATCAAAAAACAAAAACAAAACTGTAAAACTACATTTTCTGGGAATTTAGGACACTTGCTGAGAGAATTTAGTTACCGTGAGACTGGAGTTGGAAATTAGTGATGAAGGAGGGAGTGCTACAAGTAAATGCATTGCATTCCTGGATCTGGAGGAGCATGGAGCCATTGTGAATGAAGCGAAACATGTTCTTGTGCAAGACAGGAAATTATGTTCCTGCTTTATAGAGGCAGATTGTGGGCCGGATGGATTTGAGTTGATTCATTTGAGGTGACACCACCACCACAACCCCTGTACCAGGGATCAAGCTCAGGACCTTGTGCTTGTGAGGCAGGTGCAGGCCACTGAGCTAAATCCCCGGCCCCCTGGTATACTTTTAAGTAATGAAATCCTAGAGTACATGCAGAAGTAAACCATATTTGGACCCAATCTTTGTCAGTACTAAGTTGGAGGGTATCACACTTGGGGGCTTTTTGGAGCCAGCAGCAAATAAAGAGCTATTGTATTAAAAAGACTCCAGAAGAGAAAATTCTTCTCTGCCACCTTGTTTCATAAGTTTATGAAAATCCTCATTAGTCAGCCCCCCACAGAAACGATATGGGAAGGAAAATTATAGCATTCTGAGTAACATTTTTTGAAGTAATATTTTTTTTCCTCAAAAGTCTTAAAATAACTGACTTTTTGAGTAGTGAGAAATAAAACAGGCAACTGACAAAGATTCAAACATCTGAATTCTGTGTATTGGACAGATACTTATTGGATGAGTGTTCAGCGAACACAATGTCGATAATACTGCTACAGCATGCCAGAAGGGTAGGAAACAGTTTATAGAAGGCTTACAGCTGTCATAACCCAGTGAGGTGGCTGAAACAGTCTGATCTTTGGTTTTCTGAGAAAACAGGCTCCGGTTCCTGTAATTCAGAAGCTCCTTGTCTGGTGCTTAGCAGATCTGGGCATAAAAATCTCAGACTTCTGTCTATTACCATGGCCTCTGTATCAGACAGGAGGGGGTTGGAATTGCTGCTCCACACTAATTTCTGTGCCACCTCAGCCATTTTATTTAACCTCTCTAACTTGTATCTATATCATACTGCATTAGAAGGATTAGATCAGAGAATGCAGTAAAATTGAGTGTGTGCTAGCAAGTGTCCACTTAAACAAATTATTCTTTCTAAAGCTACCAGCAAGTTCTTTAAAGAATTAACGGTAATCCCTACGAAAGTGGAAATACCCGTTCCTCCTCTGAGGCCAGCAAGTGAACTGGGACAGCTGCTTTGGACTGTCTTTCCAGGACGGGAAGATGACTATCAGCTTCAGTCCTTCCCCATCCTTTGCTTCTCCTTGAATGCAGGGACAATTTCCACTCCTTTTACAGTGTAGACATGAAAAGGCATGTGGGGAGGCAGCTCGTTTATCACTTTCCACAGAGCTTCACCCCGAGCTTGCCCAGCCAGCTGAATCCTGGCTGTTCTTAGCTCTCCGGTGCAGGCCCCCTGGAGGGAGGGGCTGGGCTGACTTGGTCTCAAGGATGAAAAGCAGGTGAACTTGAGTCGGAGGGATAAAGGAGCCAAGAGGGACTGCGAGGCAGAGTTCTGTTTGCAGAGAGGTCGGAGGCAGCAGGAACCACTAGGCAGTGGGCTCTTCCTTTTATGTCCCAAGGCCTGGTGCAGCTAGACTTGGCTTCACGCTTGCCGAGAACAGCAGCTAACACAAAGCTTAGTATGCCTC